CATAAGAACTTGGAGTACATCCGCACGGCCAAACGGTTGAACTCCAGGCAGTCCCGCTGGGCCCTGTTCTTCACCAGGTTTAATTTCACTCTGTCATACCGGCCTGGATCACGCAACACCAAGCCAGACGCCCTCTCCCGTCAATTCCAGAAGGATGACACCCCCTCCAAGGACCCTGTGTCGATTCTGCCAAGTCCCTGCATCGTTGCAGCTCTGACCTGGGCTGTTGAGGAACAGGTGCTGGAGGCTCTCCGTAACCAGCCAGGTCCCAGCACTTGCCCAGCTGACCGCCTTTTTGTCCCCCGAAGACCTGAGGTCCCAGGTCGTTCAGTGGGGACATGACTCCCGCCTAGCTTGTCACCCTGGCTCCACCCGCACTTACAACCTGCTCGCCCAGAGGTTCTGGTGGCCCTCTCTGAGAAAGGATGTACGGGAATTCGTCCAAGCCTGCCCCATCTGCAACCAACACAAGTCGTCCTGCCAGCCCCCAGCCGGATTGCTGCAGCCCCTGCCTGTGCCCAGACGTCCCTGGTCTCACATCGCCCCTTGACTTTGTCACGGGGCTGCCCCCTTCAAGTGGCATGACCGTCATTCTCACCATAGTTGACCGTTTCAGCAAGATGGCACACTTCATTCCCCTCCCCAAGCTCCCAACCGCCAAGGAGACCGCCCAGGTGGTCCTGGAACACGTCTTCCGGATCCACGGACTGCCAAAGGATGTAGTTTCTGACCGTGGTCCACAATTCTCCTCCGCTTTTTTGGAAGGAGTTCTGTCACCTGCTGGGAGCCACAGTCAGTCTGACTTCCGGATTCCATCCCCAATCCAATGGGCAGTCAGAGCGGGCTAATCAGGAGCTCGAGAAGGCACTGCGATGCATGACTTCACGCAACCCCCACTCCTGGTCGCAGCAATTGACATGGGTGGAGTACGCACACAATTCTCTGACCTGCTCTGCCATCGGTATGTCCCCTTTCCAATGTGTTTATGGATACCAGCCTCCTCTATTTGCCAGCCAGGAAGAGGAGGTTACTTGCCCATCTGCACTTGCTTTTGCCCGTCGATGTCGCCGCACCTGGTCACAAGCCCGAGCCACACTCCTCAGATCCGTTGCCAGCTACACTACCGGGGCCAACCGTCGGAGAATTCCTGCTCCCACCTACCATGTTGGTCAAAGGGTGTGGTTGTCATCGAAGAACCTGCCACTCAGGGTGGAGTCGCAGAAGCTGGCACCTCGGTTCATTGGCCCATTCCCTATCATAAGAGTGATTAGCCCAACTGCTGTCCGGCTCCAACTGCCTAATTCCCTGAGGGTGCACCCCCACTTTCCATGTGTCTAAGATTAAGCCCATCCATGAGAGTCCGCTGGTCCCTGCTGCGCCTTGTCCTCCTCCTCCACGGCTCGTCGATGGTGGTCTGGTTTACACCGTCCGCCGCCTGCTTCGGTCCAGACGGAGGGGTAGGGGTCTCCAGTACCTCATTGACTGGGAGGGCTATGGACCTGAGGAAAGGACCTGGGTGCCAGCTAGTCGGATTGTGGATAGGACTCTCATCACCGCTTTCCACCAACGGCATCCTGATCAACCTGCAATCCGTAGGGGCCGCCCCAGAGGGGTCCCTAACCGTCCTGCCCGCTCGGCTTCCTGTCCTGTGCCTGATCCTGTCTCGGGACCTGTCCCATCTCCCGACCACGGCCCTCCGGCTTCCTCCGAGGATGAGGATGTTCACTCGGACCGTTCGGAGGAGTTCTAGCCCTCCTCCGGCTCCCCTCCTCCCGCCCGGCGTGGTGTTGCTCTTGGGACTTCTGGGGCCGTCCCTTGGGGGGGGGGTTCTGTCATGAGCCTCTCACTCCACCGGGTTACCACCTTAAATTTCTTCCACTCTGCTCACCACTCTCTCTACTCAGCCTAACTAGCTCCACCTGTCCCTGCTCTGCTCTGCTCTAATTACTCTGCCAGCTGCGCTGCATTACCCACTACCTCTCCCAGTATTTAAGGCCCTGTCTTTCAGCTCTCCGGTGTCAGATCGTCTGCAAAGCTCACACCCGGAACCTGTTTGCTCGCGCTTCTGGCTCACCCTGGTTTTGTGACCCCGGACCTGCCTGATTTTTGGATACTCTTCTGCCCCAGGAGATCCAGACCTGCTTCTGCCATAACGACTCCTGACTACTCTTCAATCCCGGTAACTCTGACCAGCCTTCTGCCTTGCTACTACGTATTTTGGATTTCCCTTGAACTGTACTGCTGCCTTGTTTCATTCCGCCCTGTTGTGTCTGTGTCTCCCCCCCCCCAGGACTTCTGGACCACCCACCACCGGCTTCATAGGACGCATCGCTGCCACTGGGGGGGGCACAGACCCAGCACATTGGACGGGATCCCTGTTACCCCTGGAGCCTTCATTCACTCCCTACTTCCCTTTTCCCTTAAGTTTTTATAAACTTTCTGGTGTGACGCAATTGTGGTCCTCTGGTCGTCTGTCTGAACCGTGACACAAACTGAGCATTTATTTTTTCCAAAATCAACGTTCATTGATACTCATTGATACGTTTTAGTAGTGTCTGCTCTGCACGCAATCTAAGTAGTTGCGACATAAAAACGGTATCGTTAGAAAAGTTAACGTCTCCTCTATTAGAGTAAAATAATGTCTGAATGTGTTTTGGTGTCCATTCTGTTGGACCAAACCTCAAATGCAAATAGCGAGTTGAAACCGCTTGTCAGAGAGGAAGATGTGACCTCTCAACTTTGTTGGCGTGAGAGGCAGGGGGAGGGGCTTGGTGTGTGTAAACCATAGAGGAAGAGGCGAAGCGAGAGGTTTCGCTCTCGCCAAAATCTGTCCAAAATAAGGCCAATGTGTTTCCATTGGGCTTGTTTTGGACCTAAGCTTGTTGCCTGCCTTCCCACCTTGGGCCGACTCCCATTGTTAGGGCGGAGATGTGCATCTCTTCATTATATACAGATCTCTAACTGGGGGAGGTGCACACAGCCACAGAGGAGCTAAAGAGACGAGACCAAAAACACAACATGAGAACAAGCGGACATAAACACTCATAAAAAAAAATGAAAAATAACAACATCTTGAAACTTGCGATACAGGCATGAATTAATTTTATATATCACCCCCACCTAACCCATAGGGCTCTGGTCAAAGGTAGGGCACTATGTAGGGAATAGGGTGCCATTTGGGACGCAGACAAGGAGGATGTCCTCTCGCTATGTCCCTGATCATCATTTGTAAAAAAAAAAATGTAATTTAGCAGACGCTCTTATCCAGAGCGACTTACAGTTAGTGAGTGCATACATTTTCATACTGGCCCCCCGTGGGAAACGAACCCACAACCCTGGCGTTGCAAGCGCCATGCTCTACCAACTGAGCTACAGGGGACTATCATATCGTAGATGTACTAGACTTCAGTAATGACATTCAAGCTCACCTCTACTGTTGATGCCTGTGTTGTGAAAGCAACATAACAGTCCAGCAGTATCTTGTAGTAGTAGGTCCTGTTTAACTACACAGGCATTGGCTAACTGGAGCCCAGAGTTTTTTTCTGGCCAGGTCACCTCGGTTAGGCGAAGTGAACGTCTGTGCTTGCATACTCTCTTAAAATAACCTTTACTTGAAAAACTAGAAAAAGCGGCAATATTACTGTTTGTCCCTCTTGAGATGTCATAGCAACAAGTACACTTCCTCAAAACAGTCAGAATTAATCTAAGATAAATCAAGAAAACTGTAAATAATTTTGACGGTTTTGCCGAGGAAGTCTTAGTCACGCAGATGTAACTAAGATGTTTGGTGCAGTATTTCTCAAGTGAAACAAAACACTTAATTGAAAAATCCCTACTTTTGACCAATCACCGATGACGGGGTGTAAACTTTGGCTACCGAACTTCGACAAGTTGTTGTGTGCTCGAACAGCCGGGGAAAAAAACCCTGCCAAATGCTGCCGAACACCAAAATGCACAAACGTCAAAAATATATTCTAATATATGCGCAAACTGTTTTCGAATGGGAAGCATATGGTAAGCTTTACTGTAGAGGTGCTGGGTGCATGGAGTCGGATAGAGGGCAGACTTCCTACAAAGCTTGTTATAGCATGGGCAGCACTATTGCGGGCTTTCTCCATTTTAAATGGGTTAAAGGAGCAATATTCAGTTTAAACAAACCCTGCCACTGTTTTGGTAAACAGCAGATTGCCCCTTGGAGGGATCATCATAGCAAAGATAGGTGTTCTCTCTTTTCCATCTCTATGGGCTGGGTGTCTGAGCTGAGCCTGACTTATGTGTGGCCGAGTCCCTCTCCATCTCCTCCCGAAAAGGACCAGACAAAAGGTTGCCCTCGCTCCAGTGCGTTCATGAGCCACCCTGTGTTTGTGTGTGTGCTCTGAGCTGGAGACACAAAGGCTTCCCTCTTTTATAAGGATAGCAGACCCATCATTGGAACTAGTCTCAGCAAAAATAATTAATGGCCTCTTTCTAGTGTCTCCACAGGCAAAACATTTTTTTTTTTAAATCTTCAGGGACACCCCTGTGTTTGGACCCAACAGTTAGAATAGCCTTGCATCATGCCAGACTCGAGGCTCTTCTATGTGATTTCTGGAGAGACACAACTTGTGAGATGACTAGCTCAGAGTGAACTGGGCTGTCAGTCTGTCAACTGGATCACAGACATATAGTATGAGGAGCCCAAACTGATCCTAGATCTGCTGCTAACTGTGTGTCCAGGGTATCTCACAAAGGCTAAGCGGTAGCTCCCAAACTGATCCTAGATCTGCTGCTAACTCCGTGTCCAGGGAAAGACAGAGGAACTGATTCAGAGAGAAAACTCAAATCATGTGGATCTGACCTCTATAGGAGCATGTACATTCAGTTCTCTTGACATCTATTGATGTTAACTACACAGTATCAAAAGTAGACTATGGATCAGTTTTAGAGTGGATGTACAGTATATGATGTTGAACTTAAAAATATTTAAATTCAACAAACTCAGAAAGGTCATGTGAACTGAACTAGAGGACTTTAACATAACCAACCCATGGGGAGACCAGGAGAACATTCCAGTGGTCTGGATAGGGGTCAGAGGTCAAAGAGTCCCTGCTTTGATGGCTGGTCTCCCTGGGGTTGAGTGACCGATTCACAGCCCTGACATCCCTGCAGCTGGACAGCCTGCCACTCAACAACACAGCCAACCGACGTCCACCATTTAGTTTTTTTGTTCCAATTGTTGACATCACAGAGAGCTATTTTTCGAGAGGCCCGTTATGTAACCGCAGACTAGTGCATCTCAAATGGCACCCTATTTCCTATTTAGTGAACTCTGGTCAAAAGTAGTGCACTAAATAGGGAATAGGGTTCCATTAGGGACACAGACCCTGGATCTTTTGGTCTAGCTGAGGTTCTCAGCTACGTCTTTCCTAGTGTTTATTTGAAGTACGCATTTGGAAAGTCTGGCATGCGTTCCTGACAAAGACGCTATGTCAAAACAGTTCAACCCTGGAGTGGGCCCTGTCCAAACTCAATAACGTCATGACACTTAGAAGTACATAAAGTAGCAAAGTACTGTACTTTTCTGATGTGGAACAATGAAAATATGTACACACACCCATGGAAATGTACTGAATACATAAGTGTCATCATAGACAAGGGATGCAAAATTCTGGTAACTTTCACAAAATGTCTGGAAAACCTGGGAATTTTGCCGGAATTTTTGCAATTCTTCATAGACTGTTTCTGTACCTGGGAAGTAGCCGGTAATCTCCTGAGTACTCCTCGTATTTGTAATGGACCACGTGTAGTTGGGAGTTGTAGTACTCGCAGGCCTGGAATAGAGGAGAAGAAAGAGGAGGAGGAAGAGGAGGGGAGAGAGGTTTATGTTTAATGCCTGTGAATAACACAGTTGATTCTGTCTGTATATATGGCTGTGTGTATGTGTGTGTTTATTTAATGTATTTATTTGACCATTATTTTAACAGGGAGTCCCATTGAGACCATGGTCTCTTTTTCAAGGGAGCCCTGCATCTTACAACTACACAACAAATTACACATAGGAAATACCACCAGAAAAAAACAACAACAAAGAGAATAGATACAGTGGGGAGAACAAGTATTTGATACACTGCCGATTTTGCAGGTTTTCCTACTTACAAAGCATGTAGAGGTCTGTACTTTTTATCATAGGTACACTTCAACTGTGAGAGACAAAAATCCAGAAAATCACATTGTATGATTTTTAAGTAATTCATTTGCATTTTATTGCATGACATAAGTATTTGATACATCAGAAAAGCAGAACTTAATATTTGGTACAGAAACCTTTGTTTGCAATTACAGAGATCATACGTTTCCTGTAGGTCTTGACCAGGTTTGCACACACTGCAGCAGGGATTTTGGCCCACTCCTCCATACAGACCTTCTCCAGATCCTTCAGGTTTCGGAGCTGTCGCTGGGCAATACGGACTTTCAGCTCCCTCCAAATATTTTCCATTGGGTTCAGGTCTGGAGACTGGCTAGGCCACTCCAGGACCTTGAGATGCTTCTTACGGAGCCACTCCTTAGTTGCCCTGGCTGTGTGTTTCGGGTCGTTGTCATGCTGTGGTCCTCTGTAGCTCAATTGGTAGAGCATGGCACTTGTAACGCCAGGGTAGTGGGTTCGATCCCCAGGACCACCCATACGTAAAAATGTATGCGCTTTGGATAAAAGCGTCTGCTAAATGGCATATTTATATTTATTTATTTATGCTGGAAAACCCAGCCACAACCCATCTTCAATGCTCTTACTGAGGGAAGGAGGTTGTTGGCCAAGATCTCACGATACATGGCCCCATCCATCCTCCCCTCAATACGGTGCAGTCGTCCTGTCCCCTTTGCAGAAAAGCATCTCCACCTCCATGCTTCACAGTTGGGATGGTGTTCTTGGGGTTGTACTCATCCTTCTTCTTCCTCCAAACACGGGTAGTAGAGTTTAGACTAAAAAGCTCTATTTTTGTCTCATCAGACCACATGACCTTCTCCCATTCCTCCTCTGGATCATCCAGATGGTCATTGACAAACTTCAGACGGGCCTGGACATGCGCTGGCTTGAGCAGGGGGACCTTGCGTGCGCTGCAGGATTTTAATCCATGACGGCGTAGTGTGTTACTAATGGTTTTCTTTGAGACTGTGGTCCCAGCTCTTCTTCTCCCATTCCTCCTCTGGATCATCCAGATGATCATTGGCAAACTTCAGACGGGCCTGGACATGCGCTGGCTTGAGCAAGGGGACCTTGTATGCGCTGCAGGATTTTAATCCATGACGGCGTAGTGTGTTACTAATGGTTTTCTTTGAGACTGTGGTCCCAGCTCTCTTCAGGTCATTGACCAGGTCCTGCCGTGTAGTTCTGGGCTGATCCCTCACCTTCCTTATGATCATTGATGCCCCACGAGGTGAGATCTTGCATGGAGCCCCAGACCGAGGGTATTGACGCGTCCATCTTAACATCTTCCTTTTCTAATAATTGCGCCAAACAGTTGTTGTCCTTCATCAACACCACATCTAGCGGTTGCCTATTTGCCTTTCTCCGCATCCACTCACTTTTTCCATTTCTAACCACTTTAGTCGGTGGTCGGACCGCCATACTGGAATGTTGAATCGCCTATACCTGAGCATGCTGGCCTGTATATCGTTGATAGTGCGTTTGAGTGTACCCTGTTTTTAGCCGATATATATTAGTGTTAGTTACTTTATATCGGACTTAAATTCTTCTTCCGGTGTTTGATTGCCCGTGTGTCTACTTCTGACCCTCAGTCACACCATCTCCATGTCACCTTTCCCCCCATTTGCCTAATTCCTACACTGCGATCCTGATTCAATTGCTTAAAGTAGCCCGCCCATTCGTTCTTGTCCTTCACATTGGACAGCCACTACTAGGTCCAGTGAGGGATGGGAGGCCCAAGTATAATAGATTCCCTAAGTTTTTTTGCATCAAATACTTATGTCATGCAATAAAATGCATTTTAATTACTTAAAAATCATACAATGTTGATTTTTCTGGATTTGTTTAGATTCCGTCTCTCACAGTTGAAGTGTACCTATGATAAAAATTACAGACCTCTACATGCTTTGTAAGTAGGAAACCTGCAAAATCGGCAGTGTATCAATACTTGGTTCTCCCCACTGTATTTTTAAACACACTCATGAAAAACAATCACATTCCTCAGCAAAGAGATCCTCATCAACAAAAAGAGAGATTTGTGTGTGTGTGTGTCTTGGCATGGGCGTTTGATGCTTGAAATCTCCTCTCTGTCACAACGTGGCTCTTATACAGCCCTACAGTAGTCCCACACACACACACACACACACACAACACACACACACACAACACACACACACACACACACACACACAACACCACACACACACACACACCCACACACACACACCACCACACCACACACACACACACCTCTCTCCATTGGAATCAGTAGATCCAAGGTACAGTAATGGTAATGTACAGGCAATTTACACATTTGTTTTACATGAGTAGCAGGCCTCACACAACCCAGTGTGATGCAAGATAAACCTGCTGAGTCTGCCTCCCTCTACAACATTAAGGTTGTGCCCCAAATGGCACCCTATTGCCTACATAGTGCACTACTTTTGACCAGGGCCCATAGGGAAAAGGGTGCCATTCGGGACACAGCCTTGGTGTTTATGTAGCTGATCCAATGGCGACAGAGTAAACACAGGAAGTGAGGTGGTAGCTCTAGCTCGTTTTGATTTACAGACTTTCTCTCTGTCGCTCTCTTCTCTCTCACATGCACAAGCGCACTCTCACTCACACTTCAACTACATACTCTTTCTCTCTATTTCTCTCTCTCTCTCTCTCTCGTCTCGCTCATCGTCTCTCTCTCTCTCTCCTCTCTCTCTCCTCCTCTCTCTCATTTTTTCCTTTTTTTTCTTTGTATTCTAATCTCTTTTTCTGTATGAAGTGGTGGTATTATTATTATGTATGACTTAAATACAGTTTCCAGCTGGCAATCATCACATTTATTATTCAAAGACCACTCTACAATATTTACTTCCACAAGGCAATAACACATGTCTGGGAGCACATACCTAAATAGCCATTCTCTTTCTTACAGCTCTATCTCTCTCTGTCTCTCTCTCTATGGTCTCTCGCACACAACCAATCTTCTGTAAGCTGTGACGGTGGGTGTCTGGTGTGTTTCCGTATGCAGTCAGGCTGCTACAGTAGGATGTGAGTGAGACTATGGGTGGCTAATTTGATCACTTCCTCCTAGCCAGCATGTGCTGCAAGTCTTTCACTTCAGCCTCACCATCAAACATTACTTGTCACCATAAGAGCATGAAAACAGGCGCACATGCACACACAGTCTGTGGTTGCATCCCAAATGGTACCCAATTCCCTACAGTGCACTGCTTTTGACCAGGGCCCATAGGGTAACAACAAAAAAACAAATTATTGCACTATAAAGGGAATGGGGTGCTATTTGGGTCACAGCATAGGCTTATCAGACCCACCTCTTCAACTGACAATACAACAGGGGAAATGTAAGCTAAATTCCGTTCACGATGGTCATCATCATTTGCATTTCTAAAGTTCCTCAAAAAGATATGAAATGGTTTCATGGTTAAAAAGGTTGAAGTCATGGTTATGTAGCTGTCATAATTAAGGAGACACTGTATCAAATCCAAAACAACAGTCAACTGAGGAGAAATGTCAATATCACTAACAGAAATAGCTTTTCAACTACTCTAGATGGATAAAGTCATGTTCGTGAAACACAGCCTTGCTCTCGCACAGGCCCAGGGTGCATCCCAAATGCCACTCTATTCCCTATATCAAGCACTACTTTTGACCAGAGCCCTATGGGAAGTAGGGTGAGCACTATAAAGGGAATAGGGTGCCATTTGGCCCTGCCATACAACACACTAGGCATCAACGGAAAACCTTCACTGCCTCCCCAGAAAAGTTATCTAGGGGAAGAACGAAGACGAAGAGGATATTGAAATGAGTAGAAGACCATCGACGTCATTCACATTGCTAATATGAGGGGGGGGGTGGAACGAGGCAAACGAGAAAGGGGATGGGAGGAAGGAAAGGACGGACTAGGGGGAAAGGCGAGACAAAAATTGGTAGGGGGAGTGGGGAAGGAAAGTGACGGGCATAACGGCAACAATGAAGAGCGGAGTATTCGGGGATATATAAAGTAGAGGAGGATAGGGTTTACAAAATTTGGTGAGGGGAAAACGATGAGAGTAGAAGAAGAGAAGAGAATAGATAGGGAAGGGAAGGGATGTGAAGAGGGGAGGTAGTCGGTAGGGGTTGTTCTTAAGAGGGAAATAAGGACAAGAAAGCGAGAGACGAGGCGGATAGTTAGGGTGAGAACAGAGCGTGAGGGGTGAAGTTTGAAGAGTGTTGTGTAAGACCCCCCCGATACAGGTAAACAAAGGAAAAGGACAACCTTCTAATTTACTCTAGAGACCAGCCCAACTAAGTTGAGCAGAGCAGAGCAGAGTCCATGCAAAACAACAGGCTGCAGCTGACAAAATCCCTGCTCTCTCTCTCTCCCCTCCTTCCCCCTCGCTCTCTCCCTCTCTTCTCTCCCCTCCTTCTCTCTCTCTCTCTCTCTCGCTCTCTCTCTCTCTCGTCTCTCTCTCGTCTCTCTCTCCTCGTCTACTCGTCGTCTCTCCCTCTCTCTCTCTCTCCGTCGTACTACTCTTCTTTCTCTCATCGTCTCCACCCTCTCTCTATCCCCTCTCTCTATTCCCTTCTCGATCTCTATCTCTATCGCCCCCAACCCCTCCCTCCAGATGCTGTTGATTCCCACGGAGAGAAACATGATCCAGCAGCAAGCTGCACAACTGTACTTCTCTTTCCCACTGGTTCAGAAGGGGAGCAGTAACTCCAAGGCATGGGTACGGAATACATGTTAGGAGCTTTCTCATATGTAGGCTCTTTCTGCAGGCTTGCACTTTCAATCATAGCGCTAGCCGGAAACTATCCCTCTCTCTCTCTCTCACACGCACACACACACACAATCGCAGGCACACAGAAACACACACAGCTCCTGGAGGAACAGAACACATCTGTGCTCCTGATGTCACTGCCTTATGGGCTCATGATGTTGATGTTGACCTCTGTGTTGAGGATAAGTAAACTAACAACTACATGTAGTCCTGACCCTTACCCACACAACCACCACACCACGCCTAGCTGCCTGCCTGCCAGCCAGCCTGAATGTGGAGTCAGCCCTGCTTAATAGCCCTCCCCTGCAACCAAGCTCAATCACACAACTAAGCATGGAGCTCTTCCACACATGCATGCACACACACACACACACACACACACACTCACCTGTCTGACCAGCAGACACTCGGCCTGGAGCTCGGCCCCCTGGGGCACGGTAGACTGCAGTGTCCGTCTCTCCAGAGGCACTGTGGACACCTGGGGGACAGAGGGGGAGGAGAAATCAGATGGGGAGGAACCATCAGAGGGGGAGGGACAGTTTGATGTTAGGTAAAAGCTAATCTCTTGTGAAAGACTGTCGGGGCGGAGGGGGTGTGGACTTGACATCTCAGCCTTTTCCCCTAGAACCAAATTCAGTAGCTGGCCAGAGGCCCAAAGTTCACTCGAGAGCTGGTTTTGGATTACTGAGATTAGGTAAAAGCTGACATATGCAGAATGGGATAAAATATACAGTATGTGCAGGTCTGAATATGAAAATGCTTGAGGGGATACAGTCTTTACCACTATGATGTACAGTCAGATGACTGAGCCCTATTCCAGTGTGTCAGCACTTGATGAACAACATCTGTGTTGTTATAATTAATTCATAAATATTGAGGTCAAAAATAGCAAATGGCTTAAATAAAAGGCTCAAATAAATCATCCATACCTATCAGGAAAGATTGAAAGTTGCCAAGTGATGAAGTTGCCACTGATGAAACAGCCAAGTTCCCTCCCTCTCTGATCAATGCTTGGTTCTGATTTACTGTGTCTGCAGTCAGCTGTTTAAAATGCAGCACACTCAGAGGAAGGAAGTTGTCCCAAACATTATTAGGTTTTGGAAGCGAATTAGGTTTGTCCATTAGCAAATTAATTGGAATTTCAATTAGGTTGAGCTATGGAGACACAGCAAATGAAACATAACTGTTTGGTTGCCGGGCCTGTGTGTGTGTGTGTAACGGTAGCAGAGTCATGGATTTAAACATCAACTCAGGGATCGAGAGCCGAGTCATTTCCCTAAAACCAATTAAAACCAGTTAATGTGAAGTGGCGTTCTTAAGGAGTCACATTAGCGCGCTAATTAAATCACGAATGAGCAAACAGCCACAGGACATTGGGGGAGCAGAAGCACTGGGGGGAATGAGGGGTTCAGAATGCAAAATTAGTGTGTGTGTGTGTGTTTCTGTCTGTCCTTCCTTCTTGTTGAAAAACATTGGGTGGCTGGAATGAGCCAGACACAGACACAGTCAAACACCCAATGAAAGGAGGCCATTTGTGGGTGACAGACAGAGACAGGACTGCATTCACTGACACACATGCGAACACACACACACACGCAACCCCCCCCCCCCCCTAAACACACACACAGACACGCTCCTACCCACCGTGAAGTCGTTGTCGGGGAAGAGGAGCAGCTCTCTGAGGGGGTCTTCCTTCAGCTCATCTCCCAGGTCACAGATCACAGCCTCATAGTCCAGAGGGTCTATCAGCTTGGGTTTCTCCTGCTGGAACAAACACAGACAGACATTTTACTTGACTCATCCCATATGGCAGTAAAATAAACACTTGGGGAAACACAGATGAGAAAGTGGCGGACACAGGATTCAAGTCCCGGTCCAGACACTCACACGGAACACACTCATTATCAGAATCGCGCAGTCAGCCATGATGACTATTATAACAGTCACACCATGGGATATCCAACATATTCAACTATTAGGTCACAGAGAAAAGTCTTCTACATCTAGGACTTATCCTGCTGTAACACACTGCGAGACAGACAGAGATGCACAGTCAGCAACACAAATAACTACGCTAACACCAAGTGCAATTTGCTTCTACACTGTTCTATAATCAGGACTTATAAACCACTCTGAACTCTGAACTGCACTGATACACAAAACACTCAGCAGTCCCATCATATACTGACGGAAAGTCAGCCAGTCAACAAGTGGTCTTCAAATCAAACATGAGCCAAATGGTGTGGAAAGGCAAATAGTCTAAAACCCAGAATATCTGTTTATCTTTCACTGGATGGGCATGAATCATTTTTTTTGCAAGGCATGAAAAACGAGCTAGAGCTACCACCTCACTTCCTGTGTTTACTCTGTCGCCATTGGATCGGCTACATAAACACCAAGGCTGCGTCCCAAATGGCACCCCATTCCCCACAGACCCTGGCCAAAAGTAGCGCACTGTATAGGGAATAGGGTGCCATTTGGGACGCGGCCCCAGTCTAGAGGGGAAAGGGAAGAGAGACGTAAAATAGAGGATGAAGTGGTTACATGTCATGTGCCAAACCAAACCGAACTGAACCAAAAACATGTCGAGGGAAACCGTTTTTCGGACAGATGGAGAGTATATCACATTAGCAGTGATCATAACAGCTCAGAAAACATATTTCATTATAGGCTCAATGTCACCTCCTATTATTTTTAGATTCTGGTGCTGAATAGTATTTCGATGGATTACATCAGAGATTCGAGCTCTGAAATGACCTTAGGCTGATATAGCACAAAGGCAGAAGTTTACAATACGTTTTAGGTTAAGGGTTAGGCTACACATCTGCACAGCACATGGTCTCAACAATCCCATCCAGACGGAGCGTTTCACAGAAAGCGAAATGGACTGCACATGATGAGACGAGGCTATTTTGGTCCTCGAAGGAAAGCAGTATGTCTTATTCATCACCGCTAACACAAACTGTTGTCAGAGAAGTGGAAAACTGATGACCTGTGTTCTCTCGGTTCACACGCCCACTGCGAGGGGTTTTCTCCTGAGTTCCGACCATAAGCCCCTGTTCAGTTAGACCAGGGGTGTATTCTTTAGTGCACACTGTAGCAAAACGTTTTGAAAAGGAAAAAGGGTTTCTTATTGGACAAGGTCAGCTAGGCCCCTCCCCATTTCAGCCTGTTTGCTTCTGTTTGGTTCCTAGAGAATACACCCCTGACAGAATGCACCCCTCACACACAAGGGAAATAGGTAATAACCAAGCAGTCAGTGAGGCATAAAACATGACAAAGAATGTGACGAAAAAACGAAAGACAAAAATACCCAGAATCATAACAATCCTTGTTGTGAGGAAGGATCTTGTTGTGATTCCACTGTAAAAAAAAAAAACGTACAATTTGTTTGTATGATCTGTACCAGACTGTACGAGAGAATGACCACTGAGGACAATTGAATTTGTCAACCTCACAGAAATATCTACCAAGACAATATCTTTTGCCTGAGTGGCCTGTGGATAGTGGTCCAGCGGTTAGTGCCGCGGCACACACATTTAGCCAAAGCTACCAGTCGGCATGGGTTCGAATCTGCCTCCCAATCTATCCTACCTTTCATGTCTCCTCTAGCCCTCTTATCTCAATATAATAAATAAAACCCACAAAAATATATATCATGTCATTTGCCTGAAGGTGGTCTTCAGCTGAGATTTCCAAATGAACATAAAACAAATATTAATTTCCCTTTGTCGTTCCAGTCAGTAGGGATCTTATCATACAGATGGACCGGTGGAGGGGCAGAGAATAACATGAATTAACAATAGTCTTTCATATTCAGCATTCGTTCACACTGTTGCCAAATCACTTGATCACCCTACCGAGCAGTACTGTGGGTTTGGCCCACTCAGTTTTGACTCTTGACCTGACCAGAGGCACTGAGAGGTCAAATGGCACCCCTTAGTTTTGGTCTAGTTTTGGTCCCCCTTTATTTTGGTCAAAAGTAGTGCACTAGAGAGGGAGTAGGGTGTCATTGATACATAGACAAAACTGCTGGGGAAATTACACAAAAGTGTAAGGAAATTGGCAGTATGTAGCCGATAACACTCAGCCGAAACTATCTTAGTGTCATACAGTGACGTTACCTTCCCTGACACCTGAAGTACTACCGGCTCAGTAAAACAACAGCTCAGTATTGACTGAGACTTCAGAGTGCGTTGTTGTGGGCATTGTATCAAATCTCAAAGCAGCTTGATACATTCTACATGACACCTACACGTTTGGTTACTATATTCGCCCAGACAACATCACACCAATATGGTCAGGATGCTGCAGTGCATTTGTACAATCGGAACTTCGTATAGAGGTGTAAAAGTCCCCTGCTGACAACCTCATATCTCCAGTTGAAATGTTGTGAACATATAGATCCAATACTGTTTGTAGATTGTAGTCCCGTGTGGCTCAGTTGGCAGAGCATGACACTTGCAACGCCAGGGTTGTGGGTTCGATTCCCACAGGGGACCAGTACGAACAAATATGAAAATGTATATAAATTGCTCTAGATAAGAACATATGCTAAATGACTAAACTATCAACTGTAGATGGCCACTCCACTGGATAAAAACTCTGATACACATAGGGCGAGATACTGAGTCTCCGTCAGTTACAGATATCAACCCACCGATCAGATAGTCAAACAGAGAGTAATTGGCTAACTAGTATTAGGCAAAGGCTAGCAATGTCCAACTCCAACCTGTGCCATGTCGGTTAGCCTCATGTTGATGGACAGATGCGGTGTAGAGTGAAGTTGCCCATGGAGACTGATCTTGGGTCAGTTTTGCCTTTCACCAACTAATGATTAAGGTTAGGATTGGGTAATCTGATCCTAGATCCTTACTTAAGGGGAACTTCACCCCAGATCGACGAGAGGAACAGGAAGCACAGGGAAATAAAAACACAAAGCTATAGCACTGCACTACAGAGAGAGAGAGAGCATACATACAACACTCAGGCGGTTGAAATCGTTCCGCACACGCCTGCTCTTATCCCTGTTCCTCCTTCGGAAGGTGATCTTACTCCTGAAGCTCATCCTGATCCAAACAGGATACTACGGCACACGGATACCGATGACACGCACACCGATGACATGCACACTGACACGGGTAGAGACCGGGACACGGACAGGACATGTGTTCCAGCAGGCAGAAGCAGAAGGTGCATTGAAGAGTGGTGAGACCTGTCGGAGCACGTGGTGGCCCAAGGAGGAAGTACAGGCTTGATGTCACACAATGACAGAGGAGGTGCAGCAGGGGAAACGGACAAAAAAAAAGTCCAACCACCAAACCTCTCTCTCTCCGTTTCTCTCTGTAGACCTCTCTGTTCTTACTCGCACCACATTTTCGGGTTGGATTCCCGCTGGGGCCACCCACATGGAAAATGTATGGACGCACTACTGTAAGTCGCTTTGGAGAACAACATCTGATAAATGGCATTCATTATATCATCATTATTATTATTATACTGTATTAGATACAGTAGCCAAGTACTGCTCTGTAATACTGACACTGCGTAGACACATTGGTCTGGTCTAGACTAGAGTGACCACTTGAGTGACAACATCTCCCCGCTACGTCAATCAACTGAATTCTTACAAACTGCCATTCTGACACACTCTCAGTTTTTATCTCGTCTCCATGGTTGTAATCAATGTCACACCCTCTCACTCTCTTTCTTTTCACAAACTCGCATGCAGGACCTATACGTGTGTGAACTACAACTTCCTTTGTTCGCCAGAGAAGGGGGGGGGGGCATTTATAAACAAAGACCAATTTTACACATTTACGTTATTTAGCAGACACTCTTATCCAGAGCGACCTACAGTGGGGAGAACAAGTATTTGATACACTGCCGATTTAGCAGGTTTTCCTACTTACAAAGCATGTAGAGGTCTGTAATTTTTATCATAGGTACACTTCAACTGTGAGAGACGGAATCTAAAATTAAAATCCAGAAAATCACATTGTATGATTTTTAAGTAATTCATTTGCATTTTATTGCATGACATAAGTATTTGATACATCAGAAAAGCAGAACTTAATATTTGGTGCAGAAACCTTTGTTTGCAATTACAGAGATCATACGTTTCCTGTAGGTCTTGACCAGGTTTGCACACACTGCAGCAGGGATTTTGGCACACTCCTCCATAAAGACCTTCTCCAGATCCTTCAGGTTTCGGGGCTGTCGCTGGGCAATACAGACTTTCAGCTCCCTCCAAAGATGTTCTATTGGATTCAGGTCTGGAGACTGGCTAGGCCACTCCAGGACCTTGAGATGCTTCTTACGGAGCCACTCCTTAGTTGCCCTGGCTTTGTGTTTCGGGTCGTTGTCATGCTGGAAGACCCAGCCACGACCCATCTTCAATGCTCTTACTGAGGGAAGGAGGTTGTTGGCCAAGATCTCGCGATTCATGGCCCCATCCATCCTCCCCTCAATACGGTGCAGTCGTCCTGTCCCCTTTGCAGAAAAGCATCCCCAAAGAATTATGTTTCCACCTCCATGCTTCACGGTTGGGATGGTGTTCTTGGGGTTGTACTCATCCTTCTTCTTCCTCCAAACACGGCGAGTGGAGTTTAGAACAAAAAGCTCTATTTTTGTCTCATCAGACCACATGACCTTCTCCCATTCCTCCTCTGGATCATCCAGATGGTCATTGGCAAACTTCAGACGGGTCTGAACATGCGCTGGCTTGAGCAGGGGGACCTTGCGTGCGCTGCAGGATTTTAATCCATGACGGCGTAGTGTGTTACTAATGGTTTTCTTTGAGACTGTGGTCCCAGCTCTCTTCAGGTCATTGACCAGGTCCTGCCGTGTAGTTCTGGGCTGATCCCTCACCTTCCTCATGATCATTGATGCCCCACGAGGTGAGATCTTGCATGGAGTCCCAGACCGAGGGTGATTGACCGTCATCTTGAACTTCTTCCATTTTCTAATAATTGCGCCAACAGTTGTTGCCTTCTCACCAAGCTGCTTGCCTATTGTCCTGTAGCCCATCCCAGCCTTGTGCAGGTCTACAATTGTATCCCTGATGTCCTCACACAGCTCTCTGGTCTTGGCCATTGTGGAGAGGTTGGAGTCTGTTTGATTGAGTGTGTGGACAGGTGTCTTTTATACAGGTAACAAGTTCAAACAGGTGCAGTTAATACAGGTAATGAGTGGAGAACAGGAGGGCTTCTTAAGGAAAAACTAACAGGTCTGTGAGAGCCGGAATTCTTACTGGTTGGTAGGTGATCAAATACTTATGTCATGCAATAAAATGCAAATTAATTACTTTAAAATCATACAATGTGATTTTCTGGATTTTTGTTTTAGATTGCGTCTCTCGCAGTTAAAGTGTACCTATGATAAAAATTACAGACCTCTACATGCTTTGTAAGTAGGAAAACCTGCAAAATTGGCAGTGTATCAAATACTTGTTCTCCCCACTGTACATGAGTTAAGTGCCTTGCTCAAGGGCACAGACAGAATGTTCACGTAGTTGGCTCAGGGATTCAAACCAGCAACCTTTCGGTTTCTGGCCCAACGCTCTAAACCTCCAGGCTACTTGCCACCCACCCATACATACATACATACATACATAGAGTTCCTTCAGAAAGTAGTCATACTCCTTGATTTATTCCACATTTTTAGTTTTACAGCCTGAATTAAAAACGGATAAATATATATATATATATTACCCATCTATACACAATATCCCATAATGACAAAGTGAAAACATATTTTTAGACATTTTTGCAGATTTATTTAAAATTAAATACAGAAATATCTCATATTCATTAGTATTCACACCCCTGCGTCAAAACATGTTAGAATCACCTTTGGCAGCGATTATAGCTGTGAGTCTTTCTGGGTAAGTCTTTGTTGTTGATCAACCATTTTCCAAGTCTTGATTTTCAAGCAGATTTAAGTCAAAACTGTAACTCGGCCACTCAGGAACATTCACTGCCTTCTTGGTAAGCAACTCCAGTGTAGATTTTGCCTATCACCCTACTGAAAGGTGAATTCATCTCCCAGTGTCTGGTGGAAAGCAGACTGAATCAGGTTTTCCCCTAGGATTTAACCTGTGCTAAGCTCCATTCCATTTCTTTTTTATCCTGAAAAACTCCCCAGTCCTTAACGATTACAAGCATACCAATAACAAGATGCAGCCACCAATATGCTTGAAAATATGGAGAGTGGTACTCAGTAATGTGTTGTATTGGATTTACCCTAAACATAACACTTTGTATTCAGGACAAAAAGTGAATTGCGATGTCACATTTTTTGCAGTATTACTTTAGTGCCTTGTTGCATGCTTTGGAATATTTTTATTCTGTACAGGCTTCCTTCTTTTCACTCTGTCGTTTAGGTTAGTATTGTGGAGTAACTACAATGTTGTTGATCCATCCTCAGTTTTATCCTATCACAGGCATTAAATTCTGTAACTGTTTTAAAGTTACCATTGGCCTCATTGTGCAATCCTTGAGCGGCTTCCTTCCTCTTCGGCAACTGAGTTAGGACGGACACAGAGTGAAGGAAAAGTAGCCAACAAGTGCTCAGCATATGTGGGAACTCCTTCAAGACTGTTGTTCTTACTGTGGAATGCAGAGTTACTGGAACCATGTCGTCCAAAAAGTTATACTTTTGAATCATCTGTCCATAGAATGTTCTTCCAAGAGTCTTGATGATCATCCAGGTGCTTTTTGGAAAACTTGAGTCAACTTTTTGGATGAGATGGGTCCCATTATGCCTGGCGAAAACCAAACACTGCATTCCACAGTAAGAACATCATACCAAAGGTCAAGCATGGTGGTGGTGGTGTGATGGTTTGGGGATGCTTTGCTGCCTCAGGATCTGGACGACTTGCCTTAATAGAAGGAACCATGAATTCTGCTCTGTATCAGAGAATTCTACAGGAGAATGTCAGACCATCCGTCTGTGAGCTGAAGCTGAAGTGCAGCTGGGTCATGCAGCAAGACAATGATCCAAAACACACAATCAATCTACATGAAAATTGCTAAAAAGCAACAAATTGGAAGTTATGTAATGGCCTAGTCAAAGTCCAGACCTAATCCCAATTGAGATGTTGTGGCAGGACTTGAAACGAGCAGTTCATGCTTGAAAACCCACACGTCACTGAGTTAAAGCAGTTCTGCATGGAAGAGTGGGCCAAAATTCCTCCACAGCGATGTGAGAGACTGATCAACAACTACAGGAAGCATTTGGTTGGAGTCATTGCAGCTAAAGGTGGCACAACCAGTTATTGAGTGTAAGGGGGCAATTACTTTTTCACACAGGGGAATTGGGTGTTGTATAACTTTCTTTATGAAATAAAAGAAATAAATATGTAATTGTTGTGTTATTTGTTCACTTATGTTCCCTTTATCTAATATTAGGTTTTGGTTGAAGATCTGATAACATTCAGTATCACAAATATGCAAAAGTAGAGAAAATTAGAAAGGGGGCAAATACTTTTTCATAGCACTGTATATATTCTTTAATTCCATTCCTTACTAGTTTTGTGTGTATTGGGTATATGTTGTGAAATTGTTAGATATTACTTGTTCGATATTACTGCACTGTCGGAGCTAGAAGCACAAGCATTTCGCTACACCCGCTATAACATCTGCTAAACACGTGTATGTGACCAATACAATTTGATTTTATTTGATTTGTGTCCCAAATGACACCCTATTCCCTACATAGTGCACAACTGTACTTTTGACCAGGGCTCGCTGGGCTCTGTCAAAAGTAGTGCACTATATAGGGAATAGGGTTCCATTTGGGAAGCAACCTCAGTCTGTGCTGTTAACCTGATTACATAAGCTACATTATAATCTTTTTATGTTATTGATCATTTAAAAGGAGGACAAAATACAATCGATTTTACTCTCTCCATCCATTGGTGGTCAATACAACACCAGGGAAAAGCACCAGAAATACACCACTATGGCACAAGAGTTTAAAGCTGTAATGCAGCATGACTTTGACACAAACCAACACATGAGATGAATGATACAGATAGGGGTCACAGGAAGAGTCACTGACAGACATTGAATGGGAGAGAGGAGACAAGGGATGCATCCCAAATGGCACCCTATTCCATATATAGTGCATTACTTTTGACCAGGGCCCATAGGACTCTAGTCAAAAGTAGTGCACTATATAGGGAATAATAGGATGCC